TTCCTCCCCTTATTCTTCAGTTCCAAGCTCACCTCCCTAGCAGCCTCTTGAACCACTGACTTGCCCCCAAGTAGGCAGAGAGGGGCGTGGCCTTCTTTGTTTAGAACTTTACAATAACATTTTGCACATGGTCGATTAATAATTTACACATCTGTTGATTGTTCCATAGTGTGAGCTACTGTGAGGCCAAGAATTCCAGCTATTACTCATGCATATATCTCCGGGCTCAGTGCCAGCTCTGGCACAGACTGACTACATGCTCAAGAAACATTTTCAAATGGGCACTACCCTGATTTAGAATGAAACGGAAAACCCTTTGTTTTAAGGGGCAAAATAAATGCCCCAAAGGATTATATCTACTTTTACACTACAGAATTCTGGGAAAATATTTTATTTGTAAAGTAAAACCTTATTACTTGGGATTAATTGGAAGGTCAACCTTGATTAGCAAAAAGCCAGAATTAGAAAATATTAGAAAGACGGTTTTAAACATTCAAAGACCCACTGTCACTTAAAATAAGCCAACGATGCAGCAATGACCAGCGCTTGGGTACTTGATTAGAAGGACAAATGTAAATAATTTAAATCAGCCTATCAATTGTCCATTTACATTCATTAAATATATCCTATTTGTAACCTTACTTGTGTAATTCATTTCATTTTTAAAAAATCCCTGCTTTTTTCCTCTTTGGGGGGATGGTGGTGGGATCTCTTTGAAATTGGATTAATCATGACCTTTGGTTCATGACAGCCTTTCATCAATGACCCATGCACAGCCTGCTTCCATTTATTTAGTAATTTTTAATAATGCAGTAAGTGCTGCCTGGCCAGGGTGGCTCAGAGGTTGAGTGTTGAACCATGAACCAGTGGGTCACTATCTGATTCCCCATCAGGGCACAGGCCCAGTTGCAGGCTCAATTCCCAATGGGAGGTACACAGGAGGCAGCCAATTGATCTTCCTCCCTTCCTCTCTCTAAAATCCATAAAAATATATTTTCAAACAATATTGCAATAAGTGCTTATAAAACTACCACCCAAAAAGAAGTTGGAGTCTAACATATAAAATTATTTGTTAATTATTTGTTAACTTCCATGAAATCCATCCCCTGCCTCTGTAGACCAAGGCAAGTCCAACCCTGAATTCCATGGCTATCACTAAAATTGCCTCTCGCTGTAGCCCTAAAAACATATTTTTATTTTAGTTCTTTACCTCTGTTAAAAGATGCCATGCTGTAGGGGACCTACTTTTTTCACTTAATATTATATTTCTAAGATTTAGCCACATCTCTTTCTGACTGCTTCTAATATTCTATTTGGGAACTACACCGCCATATACTCATGCACTCTATCTATCACTGATGGCATGTGAGCATATGTGAGGGTTTTGCTATTATTTACAGCGCAGCTCTGAACATTCTTGTTCATGGGCAATAGCCTCTCATGGATGTTATAGCTGGATCAAAGGATTCAGCCTTAGAAGGTGATGATGCCAAACTGTCTTCTGATGTGGTTATGCCAATGTACTCTCACCAGCCACAGCTCCTCTAACAACCTGCATTGTCACACTCGTTAAGAACGGCCACTTACTGTCAGTCTAGAACCAACTGGAATCACCAACATTTGCGAATTTGTGCAATCTAAAGTAATCAGTGTTTGGAAGTAAGAAAATGCATTTGAATATAACTTGCCCTGTAGAAAATTTAGAAATATAGAAAAGCACCAAAAGGAAAACACACCAGAGTTAGAGTGTATAAGGTTGAGTATTCACTGAGAAGGAATATTTATCCAACTATAAGGGTATTTTATAACTGTAAGTCATTTAAAACCCCCTGAGCGTACTCCTTCCATCTGACCTACCAGGAACACAGCCCTCAGTCAACGTAGCATCCCCACAGCTACCGCCCCGTCCCCGGTACCCAGGAAGCAGCAGGACTCCGGTTAAATACCAGAATTAAAAGCTGAAGATGTGTTTTGAAATTTGTGACATCTCCCTTACGAGATGTTTGTGTTCTATACAGTGGTTTCAATCTACACCTCTTTTGATCTGGGAGGAAGGGAAGGAGATTTCTTATTAAACACTTAATAAAAGCAGTTCTTTTATTTTAAATCCGTTTTCAGAAACTCCTTTGTCACACTGCACTTCCTCTCGGCAGAAAAATGCCATTAAGGAGAGCAAACACGGTCTGTGGAATAACAAGGACACCACGGCCAGGCGTGGTGATTGAAGGATGGTGCTCCCCAAGGGACGGGGCTTCGGTTCCTAGGGGCACAGTGTGTTTTACATCCACTGGAAAAAGCATCGCTGAGCTAGCCCAGCGTGAACAGAGCGTCTGCTCCCAGCGCACCTTCTGGTGACTACATTTCAAATGTGCTGATCTCTCCCCCCTTTGGTCCAGGAACCGGGTTAGACAGCGAGAATTCCGAGAAGAGAAGGACATAGCACCTGCTTTCCATGGCATCACCATCTATGAGGGAAGACACCCAAACCAGGTGCTTATAAAACAAGGAAGAACGAAGTGCAGATGGCACACTGCCAACGGCAGGTGTCCCACCCGTGGTCCCTTCCTGATCTCTCAGTTCAGGCTCTAGACTGGGGCCTTCTAGGTTTGCAAAGCTGCTGCTCTCTGTGCTCACACAGGCTTTGCCTCCCGGGAGCCACTCTCAGGGACCAAGCCTGCCGAGCTGGGCCACCAGAATGCCAGTTGATTATGTGCATTCTCTGTCTGCAAGTCCATTCACACGCGAAACCAAATGACAATCAGAGTCTCAAAAGACGCAGGGGACCTGAACGGGGAAGGCACAAGACAGCCTGTGAGGTCTCCCCTGGGGGCTGCCGAGGGCCTTGGCACATAGCCGGGATGCCTTCATCTAGTCTGTACCCGGTCCTCCGGCCAAGCTCAGCTCCATACGCCCTCCCCAAGGAAGCCCGCTGAGAGGTGTCCCGCCCGCTATATACTTTCATCACACCCTGCATTTTCATCCAAGCACTTGCAACCATTTTAGTTAAAAGATTTTATATGTTCTGCTGTTTATTAACTATCAGTTCCCCGAGAGCCAGAGCCATGCTCACCTTACTCACCACTGTACTCCCAACCTCAAGTGTACACAGTTCATTGTAGGCACGCAAATATAGGGCGTCCCAAACAATGTATGCACACCTTGAATATTTGCAATGGCAGTGTTAACAAATACGCTCCAGCTGTTAAAGGGGGCCTGCATTTTTGGGACACCCTGTTTGTGGGAGGGAAGGGAGGATGAGAGAGGGAGCTGACTGCAAGTCCACCCCGGGAGCGGCCTCCAACGGGACTTGTCCCTGGGCCAAGGACGCTTTGACGGTGTCAGAAGCAGGCATCGCCCTGCTTGCTCTCCTTTGCTGTGTGTGTTTCCACTGCGGCCACCACTGGAATACTTGCTCTGGACACGCAGCACCTTTGGTCAGGTCACAGGTCATCAGCCTGGCCGGAGTGCCTTGCTGGCTGCTGGAGCAGCCTTGTACTCGCCTGGCCTGACCTATTTGATGGTCCATTAAATCTCAGGGCGCAGCCTTGCTTCCAAGTCACACTGTCGAGCACCTGTAATTGCCACGCCATTACCCAGGTTTGGGGATATTCCAGGATGCGCCATAGTCAGAAATAAGACAACAACGTGTGCGTGTGGCTGACGCCTGTTCAGACTTCATACAAGCAGAAGCTAGTGATGACATTCTTACATGCTTCAGCTATTTTCTCCAAATATGATATTAATTTTGATAATTAGAAACAAAACGAGCATGGGCCTGGGAGTCTGGGTGAGATCTAGATTGTTTGGATCCTGGCCCTGACACTGATTCAGCTGTCAGCAAGCCCCATGCAGTGCTGGCTTATGTTAATGAAGGAACTGGACAAGGGGACCACTACCGTTACTTCCAGTCTTAACATTCCCCTAGCCCAGTGGTCAGCAAACCGCGGCTCGAGAGCCACAGGCGGCTCTTTGGCCCCTTGAGTGTGGCTCTTCCACAAAATACCATGGCCTGGGCGAGTCTATGTTGAAGAAGTTTAAAAAATATGGCTCTCCAAAGAAATTTCAATCGTTGTCCTGTTGATATTTGGCTTTGTTGACTAATGAGTTTGCCGACCATGGCCCTATCCAATGGTTCTTTTTCATCTAAGAACTTCTCCACAACTTCAGAAGCATCTCAAAAGTCAGTCCAGCTGCGGGCAATGACCACCCACACCCAGGGCCTGGGATAAGCGTCTCTTACAGAAACCGCAGCATTATCTTAGCATTCCATGACTACAAATGAAATCATTCAAGAGACAAGCAGGAATCCTAGGACCTGACACCAGCTAACACAGCAGATTCTGTGGCACACGGACCTTCTCAACACTTGTGCATCCCTGGGTGGAGGACTGAAATGCCGGGAATCTCGCTACAACCAGCTCTAAGGCACCTCTTTTTGATTTTCCCCTGTAAACTATCCCATATATAAAACAGTCAGTCATGGTCAAGTGTTTCCACAAGTATATAACTTTTCCAATCTTTGCAAAAAGCCATTCTCTTCCCTATTCCTGATATTGTGATTCAATTTCCTTCACCTCAGCCCCGCAACGCACAGATCCATGCACAGACCCTGTCACTGGCCCTAAGTCCCTCTCTCAAACAGGCGTTCTGCTTTTGTACAAACTCAATATGAATCTGTTTATAACCAAAAACTCGTCTCAGTTTTCATTAGCTGGGATGTTAAATTCAAAGTCCCGTTTATTTTTAAACAGTCCACAAGCCCTCCTTAGAGATGGGCGTCTCCGATGCGGCCCCTCCCCGTCTGAAAGGAAACTACCAGAAAGAATAAACACAGCCACGAAGGGTTTGTACCCCGGAGGCGCACACCTTTTTCTGCTGCGACAACTGTGAATGGACTAAGCACAGAAGTGTGAATTCCAGAAGGTCTCAGATCCATCTTTACTAGGACAAACACAAAACAGAGAAGCCCTGAGACTGTCTGCGGCCGGTGTACCACTTGCCTGGAGTAGTAAGACTCCACGCCCAGCGCCTCCCGCACGCTGGCGATGTGCTGCTCCAGGGCCGAGCTGGTGGCTGCCGGGAGGTTGGCGCTGCTGCCGGCCTGGAAGTCCCCGGCGTTTTCCATGGCGCTGTCACCCAGGTAGTGCTCGTGGAACTTGAGGATTCCTGAAACAAGACGGGCGCGGCCATGTTACGGGCTTGGGGTTGGGGAGGGGAAGGGGAAGGATGGGCAGCAGTGCCAGTGCTGTGTGGCCTCTGACAGGCGTGCCTTCCTCCAGACCAAGTGGAGAAATCCCGACATCCGCCTCTCCAGAGGGCTTCGGAGGTCGGTCAGTGCCTTTTGGCAGCTTTGACCGCCAGGTTTGGTGCCTGAAACAGGGAATTCAAGACAGGGCTCTCGTGTTTGACGATATATTCTGAAGGCCCTGAATCGATGACTACCTCACAGGTATTTCCAAACAGAAACTGTCACCAACGAGGGACAGTTTTTTTCCAGGACAGTGCGGAAGCATGCCAGCAATAGTCTGCCCAGAAACGGAAATCCTGAATAAAAATACAACCAGCCAAGTGGAAATAGTGTTGCAAAGCCCTTTCATCCCACAAAAGCAAATCCAAACAAACAGGTAGTACAAAGGCCAGATAAAAACATTTAAAACTACTGTGAAATAAGACTACCTGGTCAACACTCACTAATGGATTAAAGGAGCAAAAAGTGACAGCTGTGTGGAGCTGACAGGATGCAGAGCGGCCTCCAGCGGTAAACAGAGGACATATTCTCCAATGGTAATGAGGTGTGTCAGCGCTGGAAAACGCTCGTCCTCTCTGATTTGATTAGGGCCCAGTGAAAGCTTCAGAGTCTCATTAAGAGCAAAGAGGAACAGAAAGAGAAACAATAGGAGCCTCATTATACACGGCTCATTATTACAGGGATATGGATATACCACCTGTCAAATCATGTCCCCAAACGTAACTACCAGAGAGAAAGAGCTTGATATCTCTGTTGTCAGCCGTGTCCTCCCGGGCATCAGTGCCCCGCGGGGGGCTGGGAAACACAGGGGTTCCTGCCACTGTGGCTGACACTCGCCAAGTCGCCACGAACATCACGGCTCAAAGCCTTCAGCATGAAAAAGTCGGAGGTAAAAATGCCCTTTAGTGAAAGCCCACGAAAAATGGAGGGAAGGGGCAAGATTATAAGCAAGAATGCTGAGGCGCAGCACGTGCAGGCACGAGTGCTCAGAACCCAAGACGCATCTGAGAGCTGTCACCTAAGCTATCACTTTTTAAAATCAAAGCGATGGAGACGTAATCAAGAAACCTTATCAATTCTCCCGGCAGCTGAACTTTTTGAAATTGGCTTACAGATATCCAAGAAGCTCATTCGTCAAGATTCCCAATTAGGAGATCCACTTCCCCAGTCAATAAACTCTTAATTGGGTCTGGTGTGTCTCCAACACGGTAAAGCCATCAGCATTTTATTATGCAAAAAAGTAAGGCCCTCGCAGCTAATTACTGGGTCTGTGTTTAGTGAAACTGTTACAGCCTGAACATTTAATGCCAATTTAATCAAAGGAAATTTTTATTTCTGAAATAAATTGACAGTGGATGAAACTGGTTCAAAGGGATTCTGATAAATTCAGAAATGCCAAGCATAAGACTTCCTTTATATCTTTATATACTGGGAGAAGAGTCTGCCACTGTCATCTCAGTCTCTAACTTTACCGGGACAAAGGGTTAACGCCATTAAATCATAGCTAGAGAGAACTCCTTAGGACTTCCAGTCATCGCTTTATTAGCTAACGAACAGCAGCTGCCTACAAACAGGCCTGCTAGCGAAATTAATCCTCCCGCTCTTAGTCCTCCTTGATAAATGCTTCCGCGTTTGCCTGTGCGCAGCAGCCATTTCTTGGGGGAACGAGAAAGCCGGGCTGTCTTATTAATTGAATGCTCCACCATGGACTCTCCACCGTGGCCGAGGCTTTGCTGAAATCCCACCTCAGCTTCTTAGTGTGATCTATGGGAAAGCGCCTCTGTTCATTAGGCGTTCGCGGTCTTGTGTGTAATTGCCCTGTTCCTACAGAAAGAGCGCTTACCTGCCCCAGGAGCCAGCAGCCAGCTGTACAGGTAGCCCGCGGCCAGAGAATAGTACAGCACCAGTCCTCGCTGGCCATTCACCATCTCCAAGATCTGATCGATAGTGACTGGGGAGTAGGGGTCCGAGTCCTGTTGTCCTGTTTGTCGTTCTACCAGGAGATCCGCAAACGCCCTCGTCCGCCCTCTCTCGGCCACAGCCAGGGCCTCGTCATGGTGGCCTACGCGACAAAAGGGACAGACTGAGGACTCCATGGGGCGGGTGCTTGCGGAGAGGGCCATCGGCTACAGAGATCCTGGGCAGAAGCCTCACCACCCCTGCACTCCAGGTGTGGCAGCATCCTGTCCAACCCCAGCCTCCGATATCAGGTGTAGTGTCCCCTTTTGTAAACCCCGTATTTTCAGATCCCACACCGCCCTACGGTCCCGGCCTCCCGACTCGCAGCCACACCACAGGAGAGCCAGCTCTGTTCAGGGGATTCACCCTCAGCATCTGCTCCACATCCCGAGTTGCCTCCCGGCCTCCTGGCTTCTGACCCCCATTCACTTGGCTCTCTGGACTCTGGTTACCCTCTTACTTTCCTGCTCAACTCTGATTCTGATTTGACGTTGGCAGATGAGCCCTAAAGGACTTGGCTCTTGACTGTCTCTCTCTCTCTCCTCAAAGCAGCTCCTCTGCACTTCACATTGTCCAGCCCCACCTGCTCATCTCCCCCAAAAGTTATAACTCTGTGTCTGTGCGTGCTGGTCCCTCTGCTGAGTGGGTCCTTCCCCTTTCAATGACCTTGCCTCCAAAAGAGGGACCCTAATAGTTGCCCTGCCCATCTTAAAGGTATAGATGAAATGAGGCACTGAATGTGAAGATGCCCGAGAGGCATTAGTCAAAGCACCGTGGATGTAACAGGTGATTGTGGCTCCAGCTGACCCCGCGTTCCATTTTGGGCTCCCACACGCTTCTCTCTTCTAACCCCCACAGGCAAAGGGTTAAACATCCGAGGTCTCTAGTTGTTTGAAATTGCTTCTCTCCTTTAAGTTTCCCTCAGTCTTTCCATCCAACTTCTAACCCACATGTTTTTTGATGTAACAACAAACCGTATTTCGTCACAACAATCACTAAACGACTCAGATACGCAAGCCCACAGGCTCAGAGGGGGGGCCCCAGTCTCACCCAGGCTGACGAGCACCCGCTGCAAGGCCTGGTAGGAGGACGTCTGCAGGTCGAAGAGGGAGAGCTTGTAGTCCGTGCTCAGCTGTGCCTCGTGCCGGATGGTTTCAAACAAGGCCGATGCCCTGTAGAGCTGCAAGGGGAGGAAAGGGAACGTTACCCATTCCCCAGAAAGCACACTCCAGCCCCTCACCGACTAAAGACATCTTTTGTTCGCATCTTGGCATACAACCTAAAAAATATTTTTCAAGAGTAGAAAGGATACATTTTTTATCCAGGTTGGTCCTAGTGGAAAGGCATCAGATCATATGCCTGGTAAACTAATTTATGTTATGTAATCAATTCTTGACAGATAAAAAGATTTATTTATTTTTAATCCTTACCCGAGGATCCTTTTCCATTGATTTTTTTGAGAGAGTGGAAGAGCGAGAGAAAGAGAGAAATATCGATGTGAGAGAAACACATTGACTGATTGCCTCCTGCATGTGCCCCAACCAGGACCCCGGCCTGGGAAGAGCCTGCAACCAAGGTATGTTTCTTTGACTGGAATTGAACCCCAGACCCTTCAGTCTGCAGGCCGATGCTCTATTCCCTGAGCAAAACAGGCTAGGGCAGATAAAGGCATTTAGAAGTCAGGGGTTACAGACTTCAAGTCTGAAAGTTGTAAAACAAAAAATCAGCTACTAATCCAACCAAGTGCTGATTTTGAATGTTAAAAAATGTCTGCCCTCTTGTCATCAAGCAACCGTAATTCAGCACACACACTTCCCGGAGCCTAAGGAGGGAAGTGAGAACAGGTGTGGTGCAGGCGAACTGGGGATAGACGAGGTGGGGAGGGCTCGGGGGCGGGGAACGAGATGAAGGCCCGCACTCCCAGGAGAGGCACAGCTTTCCGCAGGCAGCTCAGCTAAATCCAACACTGGCCTCCACAGCGGTGTCCCGGGGTCAGGTCTCCGCTGGACAAGCCCCCCTGAGCCACACACCCTCACAGGGACACCTGCAGAACCCGACACTCAACATTCTTAAGGGGACACCTTCCTGCTGCTCTAAAGGCCTCTCTATCAGTGAGATCACAAAACGCTTCTGATGTTTACATGCTGAAAACACAGTATCACATGCTAAGTTCAGGCAAATATAAAAAACAGAATGCTAAGACTAAGAGGCAGACGAGGAGAGAGGGATGACTCCCAGCTCTGCCCCGGACCTGCTGTGAGCTTCCGAGCCTCTGTTCCTTCTCTACAAAGGACAGTTACCATCCACCTCACGTGGCTACTTAAGGAATACATGCAGTGTGAAAGCACTTTGAGAATTGTAAATTACTACATCAATACAAGTTTTAATTTTTAAAACCAGGAAATCGGACAATTCTTTAAATTGCCTTTAATAGTTTAAGAAGTACAGTAAGATACCGTAACATCTCGGGATGCTCTGGCACAAATTCAGTCACATCATGTGCTCAACTCCCGTGAGCACCTCTGCTAGGAGCTTCATGCCCTCATCCTTTGGCCCTTCTGCCTAGCGCAGTGCCCTCCCAGTGATCACTCGCATGCTGCTTAAGCGGTTAAGTGTGTGATTTTAGATGATACCATCTCACAACTCCTCCAACCTGCCAGAGGAACCCGGAACTCAGAGATCTTTCCAATCTCCAGAGCCAGCATGAGAGCAGGCTTCTCTTCCAGTATATGTACAAAGGCAGATCCAGGAACCCGTGTGTGTGTGTGTGTGTGTGTGTGTGTGTGTGTGTGTGTGTGAGAGAGAGAGAGAGAGAGAGAGAGAGAGAGAGAGAGAGAGAGAGAGAAATCAGGACACTAAATCCAATAATCATGAATTCTTGACTACTTCTATTATATGCAATTTCATATTAAGGATTAATGAGGAACAGCAGCACATTATACAAGAATGTCAAAGAAATTATTGAGAAATCTATCACACAACTGAGCAAGAACCGTTTCTATGCTTCAGCACTCGTGGGCTGGGACAGCCTGGGAAACCCTTACGTCAACCCAAGTGCAGAGGCCAGCACCGTCCGGCCAGTTCTGACTAGGAGAGCAATCCCGAGACTTCCACCTGGGACCCGGGGTCTCCTGCTCACCTGGTGTTGAGCCTCCTCCAGGTTCCCGCTAGCCCAGAGGGAGAGGCCAAGCCCGTGGCGAATTTTGGCTTCGTCTTCTCTTCGGCCCAGTTGCTCAGCTAACCTTAAACCTGAGATGAGATGGAGAAATTTTAAGGAAACATAGAAGATACACGATCCCACCTGCCAAGGAGTCCAGGAGGGTAATTCTGCCTCAGGTGTAAATAAAATATGTGAACACAGCTAGATAAAATGCAGGCAGAGGGAGAGCCAGCCAAGCAGAGTAAGCAATCTCTTCAAATTCTGTGATGGAAGCAACCTTTGCAGGGCCCCCCCGGTGCCCCAGTAAGAGCTCAGATGGTGGCTACCGGCAGGAGACAGGTCTGCATGGCAGGCAGAACACTGGAACGAAAGGACCCTAACCTGCCCCCCTTCCAGATGTGAAATCCCTAGCTTTGCAAATGGAAACTGGGCCTACGAATGGATGTAACCCAATTCTCTGGCTGGCAAAAGCTTTTCCTGACAGCGCCCTGGCCAAGCACAGAAGCCACGCGGGTCCAGTTTCCTATTTCGCGTGCACAATCGGTGCAATCGGTGCGGGTGGGAGACATATCTGATGCGCTCGCTCCGCCTGACGCTGCCTTCTATTGCTGATGCATTTCATGTCCGATCTGCTCTTCCTTTAAGGCTGAGATCTCGATGTGCCTCCGCGGGGTTGCAGAACAAGTGCTATTATGCGTCCAAAGTCTTAAATAAGGCTGCCCTCGCTCTACCGGCTTTCAGATAGACGCCTGCAGTTCGGGTCACTTACCTACAGTAAGCTTCTGAATTCCGAGGCTTTGCGGGAGCCCAATGAGGGGGCACCCACTTATTGTATTGGCCGCTAAGCGGTTCTCAGCATCACTTTGTCCTCATTACCCGGCTCTCTGTACACGCGTTAGTCAGAGAAAGGACTTCCTTTTTCTAATCTAACTCAGGGCGGGTGGGAGCCCGCTTCTGAGCAAGCTGGGCCGGTGCAATCTCAGGCTTTTGAAAAGGAACTGAGTCAGTTGAGAGGCTAATAAAAGCAATACCCAGGTTCAAGCTCATAAAAACATTACGCATTTCAAAATGCATATAACTCAGAAAACCCAGATATAGCATTTTAAGTTTAAATCGTGTTACTGGGTAACAAAAATAATACTTGCAAGTTATTCGCATTTTAAAATACCTCACAGAGTAGAAACACAAATGAAAGAAGATGGTGCTTGGATGAAAACCAGGAGAATACTGGCTGTTTAAGCCATCAGCAAGCTAACCATACTCATTCTTCAACACAGCTATCCCTGCCAGCTGTGGGGCTATGAGCTGGAAGTAAAATCACTGAGTACCCCCTCTCCCCTGTGTATCTTGCTTTGTTCCCTGCTGGGTCTCCAGCAGGTAGGGCACTCCCTGGCCCATAGTCAGAGGTTCAACAATGAAGAGCTAAAAGCCCACTGTTAACACCCGTTTCTATCACTTCCGTCTCTTAGGGATCTGACCCACCCACCCCTCCAGCTCTCCAAGGAACTAGTTGCAGGACTAGGTAAGGCCTCTAAATTGCTCTAGGCTTCCTCTCTTCACTCGCAAAAAAAAGAGAGAGAAAAGGCTGGATGAGACTGATGGTTTTAACCGGGGCATCCATACAAATCACCTGCAGAGCTTGTGCAAAAGGCCCAGGCTAGGCTCCACGTGTGAGACTCTCCTGAGTGGGGCCCCTCTGAAAACCAGGGAGAAGGCACGGAGGTGGTGTCTGACCCAACCCAGGGGCCTCCGAAAGGCCTTCCGGGTGCCCTGCTCTGACAGCTCATGAGAAGAGGTGTCTTGTTTGCCCCCAGGCACCCCGGCTCTCTGGTAGAGCACACCCACAAAGCAAGCACCGAGGAGATGCCACGATACAGATTTAGGTCTCTGCGAGACGTAACACTACGAGGAACAATAAAAGTGAAATTGAGTTTCCCATAAATATAGAATTATGTTACAACGTCTCAGGCAAAGCAGCTGCTTTATGGAAACAATATTTCAGGAAGTACAAAAGAACACAGCTGAAAGGCTGTCATATGCCGGGCCTGGATTTAATAGTTTTCACAAATTCAACTGAAAATCGCCCCCAGTCTGTTGGAATTTTACCACAGCCGAGTTTCAGGAAACCAGAGGCCAATGCTCATATTTAATGCATCGAGGCAAGCTCCCAGGGAGCGGGAGCCAAATGAGGTCTGGGAAGCGGCGCTCAGCCTCTCCGTAACCTCTCAGCCTGCAGGCCAGAGCAGTCCCTGGTCTGTGCGCAGCAACGTCAGCCCCTGGCCCACTTTCCATCCGCTTCCTGCTTCCCTCTCTCCCGCCTCCCAGCTGGGGCTCCGGAGGAAGAGGGATCCGACTGCTCCAACCCTGTTCTGTTCTTGGGGGTTCAGAGCAACCACACAGGGTCTGACATGGTTCCTGGGGGCCGAAAAGCTGGGGGAGCCCCACTTCACCACTGACTGACCACGCAGTCAGAATCAAGTCACTGTACTCTCCGAGTCTTGGGTTACTTAGCAAATGGGAATAAAAATCTCTCAAGGTTACTGTAAGAATTAAATCCAATTAAATAAACTATATGTGTTAACACACACACACACACACACACACACACACACACAAAAAAAAAAAAAAAAAAAAAAAACACCTTGGAAACTGTAACTGGAAGTTTTTGCTTGAAATCAGCAACAATGACCTTAACTAGTGAGCCAAGATCACCATACCTGCGCTTTCCCAGGACGGGAGGATGCAATGTGCCCGTGGGAGGAGAAAAGGGGTGAAGGAAGCCTCCGAGCACTGACTGCTCAGGTGACTTGACAGCAGAAGGGAAGGGGGAGGAGCGAGAGGGAAAAGAGGAGGGAGAGGGGGAGGAGCAACAGCAGCTGCAGCCACTTTCTGGGCCTGCCTGGAACAGGACTACGATGCCACCATCGCGAGCATTGAAGTAGTAAGCTCTGAGAAGGAAGTCTAGCCAGCTGCCTGGAGGACCCTCAGACTGATGCTTCGGGATTAGACCTCAGCTGCTACATCAAAATGGACTTCCGGACAGCTGTGATACAGTCTAAGAATTCTCCTCCGACTCTGACCCTTACATTTTACAGGATGAGACCTTACCTGATTCACCTTGGCAGAATGTGCGTTCACTCAGAGGATTCTGAAAAGCAGGGAAGCAGGGTATCTGCCCCTCGGGCAGCTGGTTGGTGAGTAAGACAAGCTGGGTAGAACATTCTGGACCCTGAGTGTCTCCGTGCTATTGAAGAACACCCAGTGCGGGCACCCTGGTTTTGGAGTGGGACAGAAGTGGCTTCTGAGATCCTCACTGCAAGCTGGGTGGCCACTCAGACGGTGCGTACTGCCCTCTGAGTAGACCTGAACTCCATCTCAGAGCAGACCCAGAGACCACGTGGGCCTTTGCACTTACCTTCCTGTAAGTACATGACCGCCTGGGAGTAGTTCTGCAAAGCATGATGGGTCCTCCCGAGGCTACTGTAGGACACCGTCTTGGCCACCAGGTCGTTCATCTGGGCCGCGATGCTCAAGTGCTGCTCCTGGTAGACCACGGCCCTCTCGAAGGTGCCCAGAGACTCGTAGGTCAGGCCCAGGTTCCCGTAGGCGCGGCCCTGGCACGTGGGGTTGTTGGTCTCCTCAGCGATCTGCAGGTCGAGCTGGTGGTACTGCAGGGCCGTGTCATACTCCCCCATCTGCTGGTACACGCCCCCCAGGCCGCAGGCCGCGTCGCTCTCCAGAGCACGGTCTTTCATGTCCCTGGCGATGTTCAGCTGGCGCTCCAGGCAGGAGATGGCCTGTTCGTAATTCCCTAGTTGGCTGTGCAGGCTCCCCAGCTCTCCGTAGGCCTGGGCTTTGTTGAAGGCCTCCCCCAGCTCGTGGGCCACCACGAGCCTCTTTTCAAAGCACACCAGGGCCTGCTGCAAGCTCCCCATCGCCCTGCGGGGATGCAGACAGACAGAAAAGCAATGATATTATTTTGTGCAGGTGCAGACATGCTAAAGCCCCTGAGAAAATGAAAAGCATTTGTCACTGTCACTTACTATAGAAGCTCTTAACTCCTCTCCCAGCTAAAATCTATCATGTGCCCTTAGAGTGAGATGCAGGGGAATTTCATAATCTGGAAAGCAATTCAAAAGTCATCCCTTGGTGACCTTCCCAAGAGCTCGAGATTCAATGGGATATACACCCCAGAGGAAACATAAAATATATTAATAGGCACAATGATAGCAAGTGAACTGTTTGGGTCTTCGGGCCTCCCAATTTCCACTACTGCTTAGACTATGTTTTTGAAATCACTTTACAACAGCTATAAATCCTTCGCCCTGAGCTCCTCCGAGCACTCTGTGGGTGATGATTTAGTTTGACCCGTGCCTTCCCCCCACGCCAGGAGCCCTAATCCCCTGCCTATCCGGAGAAGCCGTATATTTTGCGGACACAGACACCTTCTTGGGCTCCCCGCTTTCGGAAGGAGAAGCATCACCTTGGCCAACAGTGCATCTTTCTGGGCCGCAGCTAAGAGATGACGTGATAAGACTGGGAAGAGCACAGGTTCTGGCAGCAGACCAAACCGGTTGTGGGGAGGCACGTAAATCCCCCTTTCCTGAGCCTCAGTTTCTAAATGATAATAAATCCCACATCCCACAGCAGATGATAATACATGGAGAGCAATACGGGATTGCTATAAATGTTAAGCAAGATATATATGCAAGGTACCTGGCATGATGATAGTATATATTTATTCACTCCCGCCATCATCAAATGGCTTTCCCTAAAAGCAACAAAATGGGGGCCAAATAATTGGTGGGTACAGATGATGTATTAAAAAACACTTCATATAATGTGGGAGGCATTCAGAACAGCTCAGTTAAATTGATCCACTCATCTTTCCCATTCTTATTATCTTTTATCTTGCTCATTACGATGCAAAAAAGGCAATGCAGTTGGAATCAAAGAGCCCCGGGTGTGACTCTCAGCTGTGTAATCCTGGAGCTTAGCCTAACCTCTCGGGGCCTCAGTTTCCCCCTCCATAACATAAAGGCAGTCCTATCCCCTGCTTAATTCACAGACTCGTTGGACGAACCAAACGAGATAGGTATGAAAATGTTTTGTGGTGAGCAAACCACATGGCATTGCTGTCCCAGCGGCTCTTTGCGCAAGTTTATCAGCCATGTGTTTACCTGTGTCCGTTTCCTAGGCCCCGGTAAGCCTTGGCTTGGTCTTGCATGCGATTCAGACTCTGGGCCACAGATAAATATTGTTCATAGTACTTGATGGCTTCCTCGTAGTCACCCAGGGCCTCGTAGCAATCCCCCAGGTTGCCGTAGGCCCGGCCCCTATCCAGCACAGACTCGTTCCCGCTTAGCTGCTGCAGCATGGCCAGCTGCTGCTCGAAGTAGCCGATGGCTTCTTCCATCACATTCATGTTCATCTTGGTGATGCCCATGTTGCCATAGACCTGGGCTTCTAGACTTGGATCCTTCAGCTTCTGCCCAAGGTCCAGCTGCTCTTCGTAACATTTGAAAGCCATTGTGTATTTCCCGAGGGCCATGTAGACAGCGGCCAGGTGCCCGTGGGCTCTGCACTCCCCTGGCAGGTCGCTCAGCTCCTGATAGACCTCCAGTTCCTGCGTGTGGTAACCCAAGGCCTTGTCATATTTCTGGATCATTCGGTACGCTGTGCCCAAGGCTGCATATGCGCTGGCCTCCAGTCTTCTGTCCTTCACGTGATGAGCTAAGCCCAGCTGCTGCTCATAGAATTTTATTGCACCATTTATATCCTTTTTACAGACGAATATATCGCCCAGGTTCCCTAAGGCTCGGAACTTAGCCTGAGAATTATTCAGGGACTGGGCTAGGGACAGCAGGTACTTCTGACACTCCTCAGCTTTGCTGAAGTTCAGCAGAGCCTTGAAGGCCAGGCCCAAGTTGCAGTAAGCTTTCGCTTGGCTCAGTTTGTCGTGAAGGTCTTTGGCCAGCGCCAGATCCTGCTCGTAGTACTTCACGGCCTCCTGGTAGTTGCCCAGGCAGTAATGGGCGTAGCCGAGATTGTGGCAGACCTTCCCTTCTCCCTCCATGTCCTGGAGGTCCGGGGAGAGCCGGAGGTACTGCTCATAGTAGGGGGCGGCTTGGACATACTCGCCCCGGGAGCAGTGGAAGTTGCCTAGGTTGCTGAGGGCCCGGGCCTCGCTCTGGATGTCGCGCAGCTCCCGGGCAATGTTCAGGTGGTTCTGATAGTGCTGCAGGGCCCGGTCGTGGGCACCCAGGGCCTGGTAGGCCACGGCGAGGTTCCCGTGCGTGGATGCCTGCGAGGCGCGGTCATTCACTTCCATGGAGATCTGCAGCTCCTGCCGGTGGTACTTGACCGCCTGGTCGTACATGCCCAGCGCGTTGTAGGCGTTACCCATGTTCCCGTAGGCACGGCCCTGGGCGGCATAGTCGCTCAGCTCCTGGGCGATGCACAGGTGAGTCTTGTGGAGTTTCAGTGCAGTGTCATAATCGCCTTTCATCTGGTGTATGATTCCTGAGAAAGAAAACAGAAAAAGGTTAGAATAACATTAGCAATCTGGAAAAAAATATAATGTGCAACTTAAGTTATAGTCAAATACAATCCAGATGAATTAAAGAGCTTAAAATAACAGCAGGTAGAATTAAATATTTATTAGGTCTCCAGAGGAAGGATAGCTTTCTATGCTTCGAAGCAACAACAATAAAAAAAACAGTGACAGATTTGATTATAAAAATAAGATGTTTTCTACTACAAATACATATATCTAAAATTAAAAGGCTAACACAGTACTGGAAATATATATTAAAAATGCAATAGCTATTGTGTGTAAAGATTTTACTCGGTCTGACTTTTAAAAAAATCAAGATTTAAATTTACTGAAACAGGCGAAGCACTGAGGCAGTAGACAACTCACATCCAAGAAAATCCAAAAAGGACCCAGAGGGGAAATGCTAATTTCTTTTAATAATCAAAGAAATGCAAAATAAAGCAACCCTGAGGTACCATTTTACATTTACTAAATTAGCAAACAAAGAATTTAAACACCATCCCATACTGGTGAGGTTGCCCTGAAACTGGTAAACACATCAACTGCTGGACACAAGCTGGCACGGCCTTTGGCGAAGCAGCGTGGACAGAGCCACACACACACACACACACAGCGCTGCTCAGACCCTGCAATGCCCCTCCTGGGAGGGCAGCCTTCTAAGGAAATCAGGCAACAAATGCAGAGCTATAAGCATAACAATGTTTACTGCCACAGTACTGCTTACTGGGAAATCAGGGGCCGCCATATAGCAATGCAATAGAGGGGTCTTGGTCATTAAAAAGATAATTATGCCCCACCGGGCAGGGTGGCTCAGAGGTGGAGCGCTGACCTATGAACCAGAAGGACATGGTTGGATTCCTGGTCAGGGCACATGCCCGGGTTGTGGGCTTGATCCCCAGTAGGTGTGCAGGAGGCAGCCAACTGATGTTTCTCTCTCAAGGATATTTCTATCTTTTTATCCCTCTCTCTTCCTGTCTCTCTAAAAAAATTAATAACATTTTAAAAGATAATTATAAAGTCCATGCAGAAAAATGGGGGGGGGGGGGGAGATTCTTACAATAATTTTTTTTTTGGCTTTTTTTCAGAGAAAGCAGAAGGGAGGGGGAGCGACAGAGAAACATAGATGTGAGAGAGGCACATTAATTGGTTGCCTCCCACATGCACCCCGACCACAGCTAGCTGGGGATCCAGCCTGCAACCAAGGTAAGTGCCCATGGCTGGAATCAAACCAGTGACCCCTTCAGTCTGCGGGCTGATGCTCTATCCACTGAGCCAAACTGGCTAGGGCTTCTTACAATAATATTAAGTGGAAAAAGCAGAAAACAATGCTGTATGTTCCCTGTGCTGAGTAGGATACAACAAATGCACATGGACTAGACTTTGAGGAGATTATGCAAAAATAAAAATAAATGCCTTGTTAGGTGATGGGATTTGAATGATATTTGTTCCAAAATTTCTTGTAATTCCGCTATACAGCTTTTACTGTCAACAATAATAGCACTTTAAACAACCCTCATAGACTATGCTATAAGTTGCTAAGCTAAGCCATTGTTTTCATAAGCAGTTCAAGTGAGATCATAAATATCAAGTATTTCCAAATGAGGGGTGTTATAGAGGTAACTTCAGAGATGCTTTTAAGGTTAGCCTGGTTCATCCCAGCTTGGGCCAGGGTGGGCACTGGAAAAGCTAGAGGGAATCTAGCATGCACACAGGCTTCTCCTTGCCCTTGGTTTTGAACATGCTTTTCCATGCAGCAGTGCGGGAGCTTTGCAGTGGTGACAAAAACCTGCAGAAGTACAAAAACTCAGAGACACCACGCTGGGTTATTAAAATATCTGAACTGAAAATAGAGGCACGGAGAAAGCTGTCAAAAATCCAGCCTCTGCAATTTGCTCATCTCTGTGACACCTTTCGTTAGTTTGTTCATTCATTCACCTGTTCATTCATTCATTGTCACACAGACCCAGGAAACATTAACTGAGTATTGTACACTGATGCTGTGGTGGGAGCAGGGAAGAGGAGAAATAAAGACAGGCGTCTGCTCTCAAAAAGCATACAGAGTCACAAGGGAGACAGTCACGAAACATGTCAGTCCACATAATAAACGCTTAAGTGACGGAGGAGACAGGAGCATGTCAGGGTCACTCTTCTGTCCCCACTTCCTCCCTCCCTACGAAGGAGGTGTGTCATACCACAGGAGTTGTGTAGTTGAGTACTACATACATCACGTAGCCTCTCTGAGCTTTTTAAGGTTCATCTATAAAATGAGGAAAATAGTCATATGATACAAGCCTTAGAGGGCGGTAGTGAGGATCAAATGGAATAATGTGTGTACAAATGTATTGTAAACTACAAAGTGAAATTCAAATGCCAGTCACTGGACTTACTAGATGCTTTAAGGGAAAGGAATGCTGGAGGTGGCAGAGATTAAATAAGCTATGGCAATTCTTCTGTGTATTTGCTTGTATGAGTAAAATATGTAATTTAAAAATAATTAAGAAATCATGGTACTCTATGCAATGCAATAACATGGTACCATTAAAATGGTAAAATAGAAGCTTACATTTTGGCATGGGAAAATTACAATATATTAATGGGATATATGGTCACAAACAGTATATTTTAATAAAAATATGAATAGGATATATATATATTTACATTTATAATATACACACATACAACATAAAATTTACTTATAGGTTAACAATAATAATTTTTGGATGGTGGAATGGCAGCTTTTATTTTTTATTGATTATTTGTATTGTCAGTGTTTTTCCTATGATGAATGCATAACCCTTGGTTTAAAAATTACGGAAAGTGTTTTTGAAACTGATCTAATCAGAGGAGTAATATTCCCGGGGATTGGATCTGGCCACTCCTGGGTCAGAGATGTCACCAGCATCCGGCTGGAAGGATGCGAGTTTTTCAGAACCTGTCTCAAGGTTAGGAAGTCTAAGCTGCCCAAGAGGCAATACCTCAGCACTACCTAGAACCTGTTAGTGGGGAAAATTATCAGTGATGTAAACATTTCCATTCTAAAGACCTGCAGTTGGCCTGGACTCTTAAAATGCTTTTATCTAAAGAGATAACGTTTAGATTTCAAATTTCCAGGTATCCTTAGAGAAAATGAATCATTTCCCTCCCTCTCTTCTCAGCTTCTGCATTTCTGGAACAGGAGCCAAAATATCTGCCCAGCCACCAGCCCAGAGTCATGGACAGAGCCGGAGCCGGGAGGGTGGCAGCATGCCCACAAGCCCTCTGAGCACTTCCTCCCCAGCAATGCCTTTCCATCATCGATCTTCCCTCCTCCCAGCCTTTGGCTTTCACTTAATGATTTTTAAGCCAATATGATCACTAGTCAGTTGCTAAGAGGGTGTTGAGACCTTAGAGAAGGCAGAGGAAGCTCTGGTTTTTCCCTGCTCCCTGCCACCGAGGACACAGGTCTCCTTGCTAGCTCCCCCGTGCCCACCGGTCCCCCAGCATCCAGGAAGCTGGCTAAATATCTAGAAGGCACACCATAATGGCCAGGAACAGAGCTTTAAGGCTGTTCCACAAGCCTGGCTCTCCCATCATTAGCTGAGCATCTTCGAGATAGCCACTTTTCTTTCTTTTTTAAATGGAAAACTTTGTACTGTTGTTTGCCATCTTATTCATAAGGCCAGGTTATACTCATCTCAAAGAAATGGTATGAGAAACGTATTAGTATATGTCAATAATCTGTGTGAACGATAGCATGCTTTCTAAACATGGCATGAGCGGAGTGAGAGAAAGGAAAAGAAATGCTGGCTTGCTCTCAGGGCCTTAAGAGTCTGGCCTGGTTAATAGGGAGCAGTTGGGATGATAATGGCTACTCAGGGTTCAATGGTTTGTGAAAGAAGCTGCCTGCTGGTTATGGCAAAATGATCTGACCCCCAGCCAGCTTGCCCACGCACCACCCTTCCCTCCTCCCTTTCCTCCCGGTCTGATGCTCCCAAGGATCTATAAAGAATTACAGGAAGATTCTCAAAACAACGTCTGGACACGAGCAGAGGTAGAGGATATGGATCCGGCTGAGTGGGGGGTATTTTCATCTGCCCTGCGTCTCTGCTGTCTCGCCGCTGCCAGCCGGGAGAATTCTGAACGGAACATTACACACAATTGGCAGCCTCTCTCTTTATTGAGGCAACATAAAAGCTGCTGAGAGCTGCCAGCGGAGTGACTGCCCATGCTGAGGAGATAATCTGCAGATCCTCCTTCCCTTTGGAGACGCGGCTTGATTTTCCAGGGCCGTCACTCAGAGGAGGACCTGCAGAGGGCCTGTCAGCGGGGCGCACGAGGTGACAACGTGCTTAGGGAGGGGAATTAAATGAAGATTAGTGGGGCAGAGGACCTTCCACAAAGCGGTTCGCACAGGGGGTGCAGCTGTGGGTTTATACAGCAGCCCCGCCGGCCTCCACCTCTGTGTCAGGAGTGGTCACCGCCCCGGGAATAGCAATACCGACTGCAAAGAGCCCTTGTGAACGGCAAGGAGACCATGCTCACTGGGCGCTAGCACAGGCGGGGACATAGGAAGTGCTCAGTGCATTCTGCTTTTATTACTGACCATGACCAGCAAACACCAACGGAGGAGCGCACAGGACAAGCCAAGCAGAAGAATCTCCGCCATAACTAGAATGCTTAGTGTTTTAGCAGTGAATTCGGACTGCATTTTCTTTGTGAAGTCTGTAAAAGCAGGCCTTCAGTGTGCCTCCACAACAATGGAAATGCTCTTCTCGTTTCCTGAACAGATTACTGTTCTGATTATTAATAGCTCATGATCCAAATGGGGGTTTAAGAGTTCATCCACTGCTTCCGTCCTGGCCACATGGCCGGCTGTTCTCAGGGGAGACGTAAGAGTGGGGATTGGGAGAGGCCCTCTCGCAGGCTCCCTTTACAAGTCAGGGCCCAGGGAGAGGAAGTGCGTTAGCGGCAGAGCTGAGGAAGGGAC